CTCACCAGAGCAGAGCAGAGCAGAGCAGAGCAGAGCAGAGCAGAGCAGAGCAGAGCAGAGCAGAGGGGCAGAATCCCCTCCCTCCCCTGCTGCCCACGCTGCTTTGGATGCAGCCCAGGACACAGCTGGATTTCTGGGCTGTGAGTGCCCATGTCTGGGTCATGTCCAGCCTCACCAGCACCCCCAAGTCCTTCTGGGCAGGGATGCTCTGGATCTGTTCATCCTCCAGCCTGGGGTGATACTGACCAGCAGCACCTTGTACTTGGTCTTGCTAAAACTCATGAGATTACCATGGGCTCACTTCTCAAACTTGTACGTGTTAGGTTGTACCAAGGAAAGTATGGAGAAAATATTTTCAATTAGACTGACAATACTTTACACAGGTGATAGGTACATCATCTGCTAAAAAAAAAAAAAAAAAAACAGTTTTGCAAAAAAATAGAAAAAATTATGAATAAACAAAGATCCAAAAGCTGCCAGAACTCATACAATGAAATGAGAACTTAATTTTGTAGGATAAGGAAGTAGAACACATAAGCTTAATACTGATCAAGAAAACTTTTTAAAAAGACTTGGATGCTTCTGTGGAAAAAAGGGCAATAATAATGATAACGGTTGGAAAATGCCTCAATGCCTGTCTACAGATAGAAGAGATACACCATGTGCTCTGAGAACAATTTGAAATTGACGAATGTTGCTATAACGCAAACGCCATTTAGATCAGAAACCAGATAGCAACTCCAAGGTGGTGCACATTAATAACTCTTGATTGCTTTCCTTAACTGCTGCAAACTTGAAAGAAGCCTTATCATCTTAAAAGCACAGTAGCACCTGATATGGCCTTCTCTATTACTTACTGTGTTTATAACTTGTTTTATAGATTCAAGTCCCCCAAAACCCTGCTGCAGAAAAATAAGGGTTGCAAGAAACAGTTCTTAGAGACTGGCTGGGCTGAAGTCCATGTGCATTTTCCCTTGCAGTGTTTTCCATGTGGAAGCCTTGTCCCCACACTACCCCCTATGTTCTGTGTTTTTGTTTACAAAATGAATAGTGAAGCTTGTAAAACAGCTACAAGAAGAGAACTCCATTGTAAAAATCTAGTTGCTGGCTGGGTTTTGTAGTTGTTTTGCATTTTTGATTTTTTCATAATTGAAGTCTCTTTTTCCATGACTCTTTTTCTAAGTAAGACAACTCCGATTGATGGCCCCAAGTCAATACCATGTTCTGTGTCCTAGTTTGTCCAAACTAGTGAGTTTCTAGTTTATTTCTCAAAAGCTTGTAAACATTAGTGATTTTTAAATCAAGCTTGCCCTGTTTTCATTAATGTCTTATAGAAATGGGGGAATCTTTGTTGTTTTCTTGATCAAGTGGGCAGCAAATACTGCAGGAAAAGAACTCAAGAAATATCAAGTCTGCAAATTCCTTTAGGGATGAAATATGAAGTGACATGTGACACTTCTCAGCCTGGATACACAAGACTGGGCTCTGGGCAAGCTTCTTCCCTCATAAGACACCTCTTTGACAGGAATAAAGTTTTTTTGTTTGGCATTCTGATTTTGGAGTGACCATTCAACCACAGTTAAGACACAACACAAGTAAAAATAAAGGGCATTCAAATTCTCTTTAGGCATTTATTTTATTGGGGTATAAATACTTTTTAACAATATGCTTACATAAAATTAAATGCTTTATATACATATATAAAAGTACAGAAATTAAGCACAGAACTTGAACATCATTAATATTTAAAACTCTTAGTGTACAATCTAAAACTCTAACTTGAATCTGTGCCTTAACACTATTGGTATTTCACAGGTCATATTTACTGCTAAAGTATGTTTTACACCACAAATATTTTTTCCATTTCTGCAATTTCCATTGCAATTGGTGCAAAAACACTTGCAGGTTGACAAAAACTGAGATAAGCAATGCAGGAGTTGAGGAGAATATGGCTATTCCCTAATGACAGGCTTTCAAATTCGCACAAATTTCTAATGTGGGACATTCTCCATATAGACAATTCATACCTGGTTTGTTTTTGTTTGAAGCCTAAAATGACCAAGAAGAACCAGACACAGAAACTTAATTTCCTAATGTCAAAATATTAAATCTGGTATTTGATACTTAAGGTGCATAACTGTGAATTAAATCCTTGTTTTATTAGAATGTTAAGTAACTTTGTCATAATGTAATTTTCCTGTATTTGCCTCTTTGTTTTCACTAACCCTTCAATAAATATTGCATCCTGAACATTAGCATGAACCCTATGTATTACTATAATCTTACGAATCATGCAAAGGATATGGGCATTTTTGGCTCTTGAAGGATTTTCTGTAAGGGCCACCTTCGTTGCTGATTACAACTTCTCAACCACTCGCACAGTGATAAAAGGCTCCGTACTGGGGGACATGGCTCAGGGCATCCATGTCCCAAGAAAAAAGCAAACCCAGCATCTCTTGCAATTCAGCAGATGGAGGGGACAAAGGAAGGGACAAACTTGAGTCATATATCCTTCAAAAGTGTTCAAGTTAACCTTGCCTTTTTGGTGCCCACTTAGAATTTGTACAGTGTGCTGGAAGAGCACCTAACTGGAAATGGAAAGTCAGAGTGTTCAACAACTGATGAAAAGCCTTCTAAAGCTTTTTCCAGAGTTGCACAGCATATTGATGTCTCTTTTCAAATTTGGAAAACAAGTAATCTCAAGCACTTCTTGCTCTCTAGTCACTGAAAGCTGGAATGATGGATTCCTATTTTTTTCTTTACTAATTACATTAACACTTTCCATGCACTTACCCAATTTTCTCATATTCTTATGCAGGTTTTTTGTTTTTTTTTTTTTTTCTGGGCAGATATACAATATCCTATTCCCACCCCTAGGTCAGCTCACTGCTTGCTAGGGAACAGCAGCATTTGTTCCATTCATACTTTTTGCTAAGTGGATGGTGTCAGTTAGAAAGAAATTAATGTTGAAACCATTTCTGCCAGTGGGATGCTAATTTGGAACTCCTTCCTGTGTCTGCTGACTGAAAGAAAAACATTAAAAAAATCTTTTCAGTCAAACAAATCTCTCTAAGAGAAATTAGGGCAGGCATGGCTGCACAAAAGCTTTTCATATAACTTCAGATAAATACAAACCTTGGAAACCATGCAGATGACTTCCTCATCATCTGACTGATAAACTAACAGAACCTGTCAGGATTCCCATAGGACTCAGGGGAAGGACATGAAGCTGTGCCAAGGGAGGTTTAGATTGGGCATTAGGAAAAGGTTCCCAGAGGCTGGTTGGGCACCGGAACTTCCCCAGGGAAGTGTTCATAACCCACAGCCTGCTGGAGTTGAAGAAGTGTTTGGAAATGTTCTCAGGCACATGTGGGATTCTCGGGGTGGTCCTGTGCAGGATCCTAGCATGATCCTTGTGACTCACTTCCAACTCAGGATATTCTATGATTCTACAAACCACACTTCTCTTGAATTTACCTTCTTTTTAACACTTACCAAAGGCTCAAGAGTTTAATTCTTGAAGCTGTACTTCTGCATTTCAAGCGTGCTAACGATTTACTATTTACCACAAGCATTTGAGATATGTTACTCAAATTCATCAATCTGTACAACCTCTATGATTCCTGCTCTGACACCCTTTCCTCAACGTTACTTGGACACAAACTTATACTGCCTTAACATGAGGAGCAGGATGGTGGTGGGGCACATCATAACCTCCCTATCGTGAGCTGTTTGCTTATTTGATATTAATTGAACCAGTCCACAGCATTAAATCTTTTGAAGCGTCCCCGTGATAACAGAAGAAAAAATATCCACAATACAGACAGCAACGTAACGGGTGCCCTTTAAAGGCACCTTTTTAAAGAAATCTGGCACCCCTTTTCCCCTGTGCCTTCCAGAGGTAAGCCAGGCTTCTTCCGACCTCGGGCAGGGGTCTCTTCCCGAGCCCGGTCCCTCGGAGGCCGGCGGCCCCTGGCGCCCGGGGAGCGGCAGGCAGGAGCACGGGGCACACGCCGCTTCCCACGCTCCCGCCACTCGCCTCCGCTCCCGGGGCGGACTGGATTTGCTTAGGTTTTTGGGGTTTTTTTCGGACCTCCACTCCGACCTCCGCACACCGGCGAGCTGGCAGTAGGGCGAAGGCCAGCCGGAGCGCCTAAAAAAATCCCCAACCAAACAAAAAGAAACCCCAAACTCGAACAACAAACGCGCAGCTCCCAGCGGGCGGTCGCGCCGCCGGGAAGCCCCGGCCGCCGCGGCCCAGCCACGGGGCGCGGGCCCGGCGGGAGCGCTGACGTGCTGCGCCGCCCGGCCCCGCCCCATCCCGACCGGTGCCGGACGCAGCCGGAGACTCCCGAGCTCCCCCCACTCCCGGCTCCACCGCCCTTGTTCCTCGGGCGGGGACTCGCTTCCTTTCCCGACTCCCCCTTCCTACTCTCCTCCCCTCCTCCTCCCAGTCAAGATGGAGGACGGTGGTTGCTGCGGCCACTGGCACCGCGGTGGCTAGGGCAGCTGCTGCTCCTCCGGATCGCTCCTCGCTCCTTCTTAAAAAAAAAAAAAAAAAAAAAGAGAAAAGGAAAAAAAAAAGGTTGGAAACGTTCCTTTTTTTTCTCCGCCCACTGGCTGCTCACTGCGCGGACCGCTGGTCCTTCCCATGCCGTCGTCGTCGTCGTCGCCCTCCTCCTCCTCCTTCTCCTCCTCCTCCTCCCGCGATTGTCTGCGCTCCGGCTGCCGCCCGCCCGCCCGCCCGGACGCCCTGCATGCACACGCCGCCTCCTAGGTGGCTGCGGGGGGTGGGCGCTCCCGGAGCTGCCATTCCGCACATACCTTCATGTCCCTGCGCTCGCTGCGGCCGCCCGCCGCCGCCCCGCATCGCTCGCCCGCTCCGGCTGCCGCCCTGACGGCCGCTCCCGCCCGGAGGTGAAGCCGGGATCCGCGGAGGGGGCGGCGGGGTCGGCGGCAGGTCTCGCCCGGTGGAGTCACCGCCGCCGGCACACGCAGCAACAGCAGCAGCCATGAGCAGCGCCGCTACCGCCACCTCCGCCGCCACCACGGCCGGCAGCGGCGCGGGGGAAGGGGCCGAGGAGGCGGCCAAGGACTCGGCGGACATCGCGGCGTTCTTCCGATCCGGTGAGTGCGCTCTTGTCCTGGGGGAACGGGGAAGAAGGGCCGGCGGCGAGACCGCGGCTGGAGGTAGAGGCGAAAGGTGGCCCTGGGGAGGCGACGTCTTCCCCCTGGAGCCGGGAAAGGAGGAGAGGGCAGCCGGCTTTGTCAGGTGGCCTCGGGGAAGGCTCGCCCGCCTCTCGCCGCCGGGGCTGCCTCGGCACTGCCCGTCTGTTCCTCGGGGAGGCGGTGGGGAAGAGAGCCGAGCCGCCCCGTCCTGTGCCGGGGACAGCGGGGCTTAGGCACAGCAACTCGCGGGCGGGACGCCACCCTCGCCGGCAGAACCGAGGCGTGAAAACGGGGGCGGCGGCGGCGCGGCTCGGCCGGGAGGGTGCGGGGCTGCTGCCGCCCCGGGGCGGTGTCGCCGGTGACAGGTGCGATTCTGCCTCCCGTGCCGGCCTGGCAGCAGGCGCGTCACCGGGGCCGGGCGGCACCACCCAGCGCCAGGTGGACCCGAGCCCCCCGAAAATGTCCCGTCGGGGGTTGCGGTGCGGGAGGGGGGTGGAGGAGCCGCTCCGATCCGGGAAGCCCAGGGTGTCGGAGGGGTGGAAAGGGTGAGCGGGGCTGCGGGGAGCCGGGTGCGCCCGCTGGGCCCCCCGGGGAGGCCGGTGAGCAGGCAACGATGACACCGCTATAAAAGGCAGCGCTCCTCCGGTGCTGTGCTGCTGGGTGGCGGCACAGGGCAGGGATGGAAGAAGCGGCGTGGAAAGTGGATGTTCTAAGGAGAACCGAAAGAGGCAGACAAAAAGCGAAGCCCATGTTAAGGGGGTGTCGCTGCCTCGGCTGAGGCGGGGAAGCAGCGGCTCTCGGGCGCTGCCGGGCTGGGAAGCCGGGCTCGGCGCGGAGAATCGGCAGGGGAAGGGGGGGAGCCTGTTGACAGGCTGCCGGGATGAAAAAAAATGGTGGCTGCCTTCTCCCTCGGTGTTTACTCTCGGCACGCAACCGGGCGGGGAGGACGGCTGCGCCCGCCGCCGAGACACTGTGCCCCGGGGGATAGCGGCGGGGAGGGCAGGACTGCCCGGGCCGCACGGACCGCCGGCGGCGGGGACGGAGCCCTGCCGGCAGCCTGGGCGGTGGCGGGGACGGAGCCTCCCCCCGGTGCCGGCTGCCCTCCCCCGGGCGGCGGCGGCTCCTCCCCTCCGTCCGCTTCGCCGGCGGCTCCGCGCCCCCCGGGGCACCCCCCGGCCATCGCTCCGGGCGGAGCGGCCCGGCCGGGCCGGGCTGGGCTGGGCACTTACTCCTTTTGGATGCCTAAAAAGGAGCGGCGAGCAAGGGAAATGCAGACTCACCGCAGGAAAGATGAGGGGGTTGGCCCATTTCGTGTGTAAAAAATAATGATGGCAGTAGTAATAATAGTAGTAAAAGCTGTGTTCACTGGGTTTTTAAGGAAAGTCCGCGAGGGAAGTGGGAAACGGCGTAATCAGTGCTACTTGTGGTCGGTGGTGCTGCTCAGTGTGCTTGGTTTCATGAGGATGAAGAAGGAGGTGTGATTTGTGGCAGGCATCCTTGAAGCAGGGCTGGGAGCTGCGTTTGCATAGATGGATAGAGGGTCCGAACAGGGGGCTATGTCCCCTCTGGAAGGCTTGATGCTCCCGGGGCAACCTGCTTCACAGGAGAGCCATTGAGTGTGAAACTCCGTGTCAGGATGCTGGCCTTGGTGGGTTTTATTGTGGAAAAAGGACTGACTTTTATCGTTCCCAGGAAAAAATCCCAATAATAGCAAAATGACAAATTATAACAGTAGGCTTATACACAGTAGTCTGCCTAGTGTAGTTACAAATGGGTGCTTGTGTAGTAATCTTGCAGTTTTGGAAGACCCTGCCAGCTGTATTAATAATCAACTTCCACATTTATGTGTGGGTTGAGGGATGCTACAGCTGGTAAGCTCGTAAGTGGTGCAGTGATGACTTCTGATGCTGATAACTTCGGATAACAGGGAAGTTGCACTGAGCTCAGTCTTGCAGCATCTGAAAATCTTAAAGCAATAGAAGGACGTGCTTATCAAAAAACTCTTAGAGCAGATTTAACGACTGGCATTCTCATTTCCATATTTACATGTGAAGGTTATCTGGTTCAGCCTGGGCTCTTACATACACTGGAAAATGTTCTGGCATCTCCTGTGGGTGTTTGGCATTGAGAAGAGCTCTTTGAATTCCGCCTCTGTGCATGATCCACTCTTCTATAAGGAGGGGGTCTATTAAGAGATCTCCGGTGCTTCCCATTGTTTGAACAACAGGCACTTTTTTTTTTCAGTGGAGCACAAAGGCACAGAGATCAATGAAGAAGGAAAAAACTTTGTTTGGTGCACTTAGGCGCAGACAAAATATTTTTCTCTTTACAGAATTTACAATGACAAATGCTTCCTCTTTCCTGTCACATGCAGAGAATATTAGCAAAGCTCTAGCTGTTACTTAAAAAGAAAATGAGTAAATATGTTGCAGTGTTTTCCAGGAGGAAAAAAAATAATCCCAACAACAAAAAGCCTGCCTAAACAATCAGTTCTAATCTTGGGTTGGTTAAATTGGTCAGTTGAGCTGCCAAGTGGGGTTATTGGCTTTCCTCCTGTCCTTTTGTAAGACCAAGCTTGAAGTAGAATTAAAGTAGCCTGAAGAATGGAGTTTCATTATTTGGAAGATTTTGTTAGGATATTGAACAGCAGCTAGGTTCACATCACTTGAAATGTGCACATTTCCAGTTTTCACTTTGGTTATGTAAATGTAAACTCACTCTTGAGTTGTTGGGGAAATAAAGTTGCAGTTGAAATGTGAGGAAAGCAGCTGAACTGGAAGTGAGGTGGTGGTAGTAGGAGCATATAAAGACTGTGTGTCTTGGATGTAAACGAGGAATCCCTTTATTGGAACAGGAAGAAATTCAAGCAGCTTACTTTCTGTTACATATTTGGTATATAAATATCATTATTTGGAGTTGAAAAGGAAAGAGTACTTTGTTAGGTCTGTCCCCTTTATGGCAGGACTAATAGTAAAAGAAGCAGAGTTGAGGGCCAGGGATAGTGATTACATTTTGAAGGAGAAAACACAGTGGTTGTAGGAGGTGCCTTTCTGTCCTATATATAAGTTAGAGATTAGAAATGACTGTGTAAACTGACAGAAGGATACGTTTTGAACTATAAATGTATAGACAATTATCCCTTTTTTGAATTAAAAAAGTGCACTGTTGTGACTTGAAAGAACTGGTAAAATATCTTGGAATTATGAAAAAAGACTGTTAGCATACAAAACCCCAGTAGCACAGAGTCTAAGTGGCTGTGTAGAGTGGTGTTAGTACATGTGTTAAGTATACAAGATCTATTTTTTATGAAAAGTTATTAAGATAAAATTTTTCAAAATATGTTCTAAGTTCAACCTAAAATTCTGTGTATCTGAAAGGTCTGAAAACAGCTGACATGAGCAAAGTTGAATTTGAGGGAGTGCCATCAAGTCATGGTTTACAAGGCAGTAACCATACAGAGGTTTTGTTTGGTTGTTGTTGGTTTAATCTTCATCTTTGCAGCTGTGAGTCCTCAATACTTTGGTAAGGGGACTCAACTTACATCTTCAGGATGCAAGAATGAGGGCTGTCTGTTAAGTTTAATGTTATTGTAAGAGTGTTTTTACAAACTAAAGTATTTTTGCTAGTTGAAGTTCGTGAATTTAGTTTTTAGGCATAAAGAACAAAACATTTTTCATCCAAGTAAAAGACAAATGTTGATGTTGGTCAAACTTTTAGTAATTAAATTTACCCTTCTGGTATGATGGACATGAATACAAAAGGTTGCAGAGAAAAAGGCTTGTAAGCACTTCAGTCAGCCCTTGGCTAGACAGTATAGGGAGTGCCTTTGTAAATTACTCTGATAAGTCTTCATGGAAAAAAAAAAACAACTGACTGATAATTCTTCACAGTTATGAGATGAAAGTGGATGCAGTTATTTCCTGCATGATACATTTTTTATGAGTGGCCTCTACAAACTGCAGTAACTTCATTCATATATGGACAAACAATACAGTTTTCAAAGCCGTTGAGATTAGTGTTGTCACCACCTGTTTATGTGAACACCTGCCACATGCCTGGAAGGAACACAGTTTGCATACTGAGCAATGGGAAGGGTTGGGGGAACAGAAGTGTTTGAAAAACAAAGGAAAAACAAGGAGCTCCAAAAGTCTTGTCATTAAGGTGAATAACTGTCCAGGCTTTGTCAGGTCAAATCTGAACATAATTGTTAATTGTACTTCATCCCTTGATACTGGAAACAAGAAAGTGGAGGATTCTCCATCTAAAACCTAATCTACACAGGTAGCAGCATTCCTCTCTCAGGAGAAGGAGTAAGTCTGAGATGAATGTGGGTCTAGAGGAAGTGGTTGTTCAAGTAGAGAGTTCAGTGTGCCACCTCTCTCAAGGTGAAGTTAGAGAACAGGCTGGTAGCCAGAAGAGCTTTAAATAGCACCTAGTTCTAATGTTATACACTTAGTGTATCCTGCTTGTGCATGTGTTTCTTAAAGTAAGCTTAATGATAAGAGAATCTAAAACTTTGGTTTAAGATATGTGTGTTTAGGTACCAAAATGAACATGTGAGTATTTTAGGAAAACAGAATGCTGAGATTTGTTGTGGTTGTGGACATTTGAAGACTTCTGCAAGTGCCAGTAACTTGAGACTTCAATCAGTCCGGGTTCCACTAAGTCTGCCTATAGCAGATAGGCTGATAGCTGCTTGTATAGTTGAGACCTTAGAAGAAGTATTAATGAGTGTCATGAAAATATGATTGATTTTCTTATTTTTCATTTAAATAGTGATCTTGTTGTTTGCTTAGTTTTCATGAAAATCACTTAATACTGTAAAGATAAAAGCCAGCATTTAGGAATGTGTTGTTTCAAGTTTACAAGGAGGACTTATGTTTTATTTCTTCCTGATTATATTGCTTTATCTACTGTTGCCTTGCTTGCTTTATATTGTGTCCTGTGTGATAGTGGCT